GATGTGCTATCCCTCAAACCCCTGAAGAAATAGTCACTGAAATGCATCGGGTGAATGGAGACAGATCACAAAGTCAGGGTGGTGACAATCGCACATTTTTAACCACTTTACAACCGCGCTATAGGCAATTGATGGATACAACACGGTTGTCCATTCTGGGAGGGCTTCATATGACGTCCTCTCCAGAACGTGCCCCCCGTGCACCCCCAGTGGCACGCACCTGGCGCTGTCAGCTGATCACATGACAAGGTAAAAGGCCAATCACAGCGGCCTTTTACCACGTGATCAGCTGGGGTTTATTTACTAAACCTGGTTGACTCAGAATCTTGTCCACTTCTGCATAAAAAAACCAATCAGCTTCCAGGTTTTATTGCTGAAGTTTAACTGAACATGCTAAGGTTAGAAGCTGATTGGCTACCACAACGGAAAATGCACAGGTGCCAAAGATTCTGAGTAAACCAGGTTTAGTAAATAAACCCCGCTGTGTCCACTGACACAGCTGATCACAAAGTAAATACAGTTGCCAAATATCAGCAGCACTTTCCTCACGCTGTCACAGTACTGCAGATAACCAGCAAGTGTCACAGTGGACATCTGCACAGATAGTTTAGGGCACTGATTATCAGTGCAGCCCCCAAAGTGTTCCAGAAGTGCCCACCCCATCAGTGCCCCCAGTCATGCCCCCAGTCAGTGCCCCCAGTGCCACCTATTAGTTCCCATCAGTGCTGCATATCAGTTGCAGCAGCATCTGTGCCTCCTCATCAATGCCCACCAGTGCCGCTTCATCAGAGCAGCCTATCAATGTTGCTATCCATGCTGCCTCATCAGTGCCCAACAGTGCTGCCTATCAGAGCCCATTAGTGTGGCCTTTAAGTGCCGCCTCATCAGTGCCGCCTATGAGTGTCCATCAGTGTTATCTATCACAGTGGCCACACCTCATCAGTGCCCATCAGTGCTGCCTATCAGTGCCCATCAGTGCAGCCTCACCAACACACATCAGTGAAGGAGAACAATTTACCTGTTTGCAAAATTTTATAAACAGAAACAAAAAAAAAACTTTTTTTAATATCAAAATTTTGATCTTTTTCATTTATAGTACAAAAAAATAGGAAAACTCAGTGATGAAAAAAATACCACAAAAAGAAAGCTCTATTTGTGTGAAAAAAATTATAAAAATTTTCATAGGTACAATGTTGTATGACCCCGACCAATTGTCATTCAAAGTGCTACAGCACTGAAAGCTGAAAACTGGCCTGGGCAGGAGGGGGTGAAAGTGTCCGGTACTGACGTGGTTAAATCTGTACGGTTTTTACTTCTATGTTCATTACTGTCTGTCTAACTAGATGTGATATCCCTCAAACCCCTGAAGAAAGAGTCGCATATCTCTGAAACGTGTTGGGTGAATGGAGACACATCACAAAGTCAATGCCATCTGAGACAGTTTTGTATTTTGTGACTTTTTGTGTTGTATAGTTGTATTATTGCTTTTAAGATACTGGATTTTTTATTACAATAAAAATGAAAATGTTTTTATACCAAGTTGTGGGATTTGTGACGCAAAGTGACGTGTTTATATTGGATTGGATAAATATGGTTTTGTATGTGTTAAAAAAACCTGTCAGCTCTTATGTGATAAAAAAATACATTTTTGTAAGCTGATTGCTTTCAACCCAAAGTCCGATCACGTCTAATGTTTCTCACGGGAGTCCATAATATAAAAGGATATCCTCAGACTTGCTGTACCTTCCAGACGAGAGGCTCTTGGAACAAAACTATACAAAAAAGAGCACATTGGCTTCACGTAACCACCTTCAGTGAAACTTAATTACGAATCATCTCTGCCTGGTTCACCCCCTGTGCATTTTTTTAGAAGTGCATTTTGCGGAAACGCACTACAGTCCATTTAACCATGGTTTTTCTATGAGACCATCATCTATGCATTTTTCAGCCACTGTGTTTTTGGAAATGGTCAGGGAATTTTTTTAATGCAACTTGGTGCGTTTTTGGTTCCAATAGACTTTTCAACGGACACATGGCAGAAAACCACATGTAGTGCGTTATTTTTTTGTGTTTTTTCATTTTTTTTTTTTGCCCAATAGGAAAGTATTCGACATTTGGATATGACTTTGGATTACAGACTTTGATGCAAACTTTGTTGCAACTTTTTTTTTTTCTTGCTAATAGGCAAGTAAGACAGTTCTGTGATATGACTTTGGATGAGTACAGCTTTGATGCAACTTTGTTGCAACTTTTTTTTTTTCTTGCTAGATAGGCAAGTAAGACAGTTCTGTTTATAGTGTAGGTGTGACTTGATGCAGTCTTTAGCACTCAAGGTACAAGCATCAAAGTTGCATTCAAGGTACACCCATCCAAAAAAAAAGTTGTATCCAAGTCGCTCCCATGTCACATCCCAAAAGTCACACCACAACCAAAGTCACATCCTAATTCCGCACCCATTCAAGCCGCAGCCAAGTCGCACCACCATACAAAGTCACCTCAGTCACATCAAAGTCACACCCCATCCAAAGCGCATCCAAGTACATCCAAATCACACCCATCCAAAGTCGCATCTAAGTATCACACCCATCCAAAGTTGTATCCAAGCCGCACCCATACAAAGTCACATCCAAGTCACACCCATCCAAAGGCACATCCAAGGTTCATCCAAATCACACCCATGCAAAGTCGCATCCAGTCACACCCATCCAAAGTTGTATCCAAGTCACACCATAGTAAGGGGGGGGGTTGGGGGGGGGGGGGGGGGGGGGGGGGGGGGGGGGGGTGGGGGGGGGCGGGGGGGGGGGGATCCAAAGTGGGCAGTCAAAGTATGTCCAAGTCACATCAAAGTCACACCCATTCCATCCGCAACTAAGTTGCACCCATCCAAAGTCATGTTCTAGAGTAACATCAAAGTCACACCCATCCAAAGCGCATCCTAGGTTCATCCAAGTCACACCCATCCAAAGTTGTATCCAAAGTTCACACCCAAGGTCACATCCAAAGCACATCCAATTCACATCCATTCAAGCCGCATCCAAGCTGCACTGTCCATCCAAAGTCACGTCCAAGTCCACATCAAAGTCACACCTATTCAAAGCTGACATCTGCCAAGTTGCACCCATCCAAAGTCACGTCCAAGTTACTATCAAAGTCACACCTATTCAAGCCACATCCAAGGGTTGTTTATGCCCACCCATCCAAAGTCACGTCCGTCCAAGTCACATTAAAGGTCACACTCCTTACCAAAGGCGCATTCAAGTCACACCCATCCAAAGTTGTATCCAAATCGCACCTAAGTCATATCCAAGTCACACACATCCAAAGTCACATCCAATTTCGCACCTATTCAAGCTGCATCCAAAGTCACATCCAAGTAACACCCACCCAAAGACCCATCCAAGGTTCATCCAAGTCACACCCATCCAAAGTTCGCACCGCATCCAAGTCACACCCATTCAAAATCACAATCCCAAGTCCACACCATCCAAAGTAGGGTTGCCACCTCATCCCTTTAAATCCAACACAAATATTGATTACACAGGTTCTGTGGCTGATTAAGGTGGTAATTAAATTCACTTGGTGCCTTACTGCAATACATTTGCCTCATAACCTGTGTAATTAATCTGTTCAATTTTAAAGGGATGAGTTGCAACCCTAATCCAAAGTTGGATCCAAGTCGGCACCCAAAGTCACATCCATAGTCAACACCATCCAAAGTCACATCCAATTCGCACCCACCAAAGGTCACATCCAAGTTCACATCAAATCACACCCATCCAAAGTTGCATCCCAGTCACACCCATGCCCCCAAAGTTACACCAAAGTTTCATCAAAGTCGCACCATCCAAAGTCTCCCTCAAAGTGGCATCAAAGTCAATACTTTCCTATTGGAAAAAAAAACCCTGCAAACATGCAGAAAAAACATAGTGTTTGAAAACGCAACCTGGAAAAAAACACATCAATCTCAACACACAGAGGTGTGAACCTAGCCTATACTTATAAAGGTACTTGGCTAAAAGCACTATCTAAAACATCGCACCCATCCAGGTGGAGACTTGCCCATGCCACCAAATACAGCTGATGAACTCTTGAATCCTCTGGACATCTGTTGAGTCACTACCATACAAGTATTCAGCACTGATGCATTTCGATGGGGACTCCCTCATCCTCGAGATCTACTATAACTATGGAAAATACCTGGTATGCTGTAATGTATGCCACCTACTGTCAATATAAAAAGGGGCCACATGCGTGAGCTTTGGGAGGCATACATTACAGCTCAGAGATAAGTTTTGGAGGGATGCCCATGCTCATCTTACATTTCTCAGTCTCCTACATAATCATCTACATGCATGTCTGCAGTCTTCTGACTAGGGATTGAGCTCAAGCGTGTTTAGACATGGGTCACAGGCAGCGAGGCATTTCCTGCCCCGTAGCTGCATGAAGACAAGAAGCATGTATATAGCAGGCGGTGGAAATGTCTCTACCGCTTATGATTGGCTGCTCACAGTAACAGCTTCTTAGTGGGATAGCTCAGCCAGGTGTCCGGACGTCATGTTTCACATACAATTGAGATCATCCCTGGTCTTCAGTCTCTGACTATCTCTTGTATTAATTGTTTGCAGTAATCTGATCATCTCTTGTAACAATCTGCAGGCTCTAAAATATCTCTTTATCATGTCTTGCAGTCTCTGACCATTTTCTGTATCATGTCTACAGTCTCTTACCATCCCTGGTGTCATGTCTGCAAGTCTCTGACCATCTCTGGTGTCATAGTCTGCAGTCTCTGACCATCTCTTGTATCATGTCTGTGGTCTCTGACCATCTCTTGTATCATTTGCGTGTCCGTGGTCTCTGACCATCTCTTGTGTCATGTCTGCAGACTCTGCCCATCTCTTGTACTCATGTCTGCAGTCTCTGCTCATCTCTGTATCATGTCTGCAGTCTCTAACCATCTCTTGTATTATGTCTGCAGTCTCTGACTAGGCTCCTGTATCATGGCTGCAGTCTCTGACCAGCCCTGTTAATGTGTTTTGCAATCTACCAACCTTTTCGTAGCATTACATCTAATAAAGGGTGAGTTACAAAACCTAGTACGCCTGCATTCCCTGCATCCACTATAACAGCTGTCCCGGACCCTGCATTTACTATAACTGGTCTCCCAGGACCCTGCATTCACTATATCCGTTCTCCCCGGACCCTGCATTTACTATATCTGGTCTCCCAGGACCCTGCATTCACTATATCTGTCCTCCCAGGGAACCCCTGCATTCACTATAACATGCTCTCCTGGACCTTGCATTCACCTATAACTGGTCTCTCTGGGACCTGCATTCACTATATCCGTCTCCCAGGACCCTGCATTCACTATATCTGGTCTCCCTGGACCCTTGCATTCACTATATCCGCTCTCCCACAGTACACACACAACATGGAAATGCAATTATTTTAGTAAATAGAAACTGCTAAAATACCTTTTCTCATCAACAGTTATAGCAGTCTTATGACTTCTATCAGTGTCCAGCCGAGCACTGGTTAAAGCTTGTAGAAGGAGTTTTCATTCTCCCCTGATTGCCCTATGAGTCTGCATAACCCCTGACCCTCTGTCTGGACAGCGCTGGATTGGCCCTGTGGGCTAATCACCAACGCCAGTCTCCCAAGAAAAAAAAACCTCTCTAGCAATGCACACCAAACTGAGCATGTGCCAGGCTCTGTTCTATCAGCAGATGGAATTGAGGACTGTAGAAGAAGGGGAGAATCAGAGAAGACAGGATCAAACAGCCTTTTTAGACAATGCCCGAGGATTAACCCCTTAGGTTCCACAGTGAGTATTAACAAGCATGCCACCCTTTTTTAACTGCATATACAGATGGATTTTACTGTTGTGGGTTTAGTAACACTTTAAGGCTACTTTTCACACCTGATCTATAGCAAAAACACACATATGTGTTTTTACCCACGTTTTGCGATTCATTTTTTTACAGAACATGTGACTCAAAAACCACATTTTCAATGGGGAGATGCATTTTTGGTGTGGTTTTTCACCACACTCAAACCTGCAACCTCTAAAAATGCAGCAAGCAGCAGGATTAAAAAAATGCACCAGACTCGCAATGACCATGTGTGGAAGATTTCCATAGAAATACATAGGTCGCGTGTTTTTCTTCCACTTTTTTTAAGTGCGAAAGCAGACAAAAAACTGGTCAGTGTGAAAGCCGTCTTAGTGAATACTAGGTGTGGCCTTAGCAATGTCTGGGGCTGCACTCAAGGCCCCTTAGTAAGTTGGCCACCACTACTGTAGGCAAATAGAAGGAAGTTTACCTAAAGGGGCGGACGTGACCATTTTTGGAAACGCTCGGGCATCCTGCCCGAGGGCCCTGGTCAGTAGGGGGCCCCATGAGATGCCCCTGAATACCTTTTTCATAGGCTTTTTTGAGTTTGGGCAAGGACGCAGGGGGCCCCATTGATCTCCATTGCCCAGGGGCCCATGAGTGTTAGTCCGCCCCTGGAGTTTACCCATTTGCTCCAGAATTCCATAAAACAACTTACAATATAAAGCTTTGTGAGTCCTGAGACCACGCTTGAATGTCCCATGAAAGGGGATTAATCTGGTAGACTCTCCCAGCTGAGATCCCCAGTGTTACAAATAAGTGTCAGGGGACCACCTTCAAGTTGCAGGGCTGGTAATGGACCGGAGGTCTGATCTTAGGAGCTGAATGGTAGATGAAACATGGTTCATACATGATTTAACAAAAAGTTGAAGATTGTGTGTTTAAAAACACAGGGAACGTGTCTTTTGTAACAAGGATGGAAGATAAATTGCAACCAGAAATATTCTTGGGATTCCTACCAGATCCAGAAGAAGATTTTACACAGGTAAAGATTGTTTGTGCTGTTCTATTTTCCATTGATTTTTATGTGAATGTTATTTGTTGTTCATTAGTTATCCTAAACCTTGGTAATATTTCAGTGTTCAGCTGATTTATTCTCATCTTCTCTTTAAAACAATATGAAAAGCATTTTATGTGGAATAGTTAATAATTTATGGGTACGGCAACCTTTTGAGTCTATTGGAGTGAAAAAAAAAAATTCTGTAAGAAATTTTAGGAGTGCTATAATCTAAAATGTCTACTCCATGTCCTCCAATAGGCAACAATTAGTAAATTGTGCAATAAATTAAAAATCGGAACAAATGAACACCAAGGTTAGGTTTGGTAGTATAGTCAACCGCTTGCAAAGATCAATGGTTTTCCACATTCCTATAACCAGCTTTTCCCAATCTTTTTTCAACACAGAGGAACCCTTGAAATAGCTTTTCAGCCTGAAGGAACCCCTGCTAAAAATGAGCTAGGATCTGCAACCCATAAAATGGTCTGTGGGAAAGAATGCTTCTTGCCTTGGGGTCAGTGGGAAAGAATTACCCCTTTTCAAATAGCCTAAGAAGAATCAACGGTGTCAGTGGAGAACTCCTCTAAGAGGCAAAAATTGCTCAAAGAACCCCTATACCCCTCTGGAGAACCACAGTTTCATGGAGCCCTGGTTAGAGAAACCCTGTTCTAAACAATCAGCGACTGAAAGTGACCCCCTACATGTGTCAGTGACTGCAAATAATAAAACCCCCAGAATTGTACAGTAAAAATTACCCCTAGCTTGTGGTGTCGGTGCAGCTGCATGCTTGGTGTCGGTGCAAGCGAAGGGAAAAAAAAATCTCAGGATTAATGTCCATGCAAATCCATCTCTGTGCAGTAAATAAAAACTTCAAGAATGGCAACCGGCCTAGCCCGCAGGATACCCTGGGGGATTGGCGTTCAGTGGTTTTACTTGCCTTTTCAATGGCTTCTGTCTAGTTGCATTTTCATCTGGGCTGCTGCCTTAGGTCAATCTAATGGAGTTATACTGTCAAGCATATGATGCAGGCTGTACGCCAGCATTAAAGCCAAGAATCCTTAAGATAGGATCTAAAGTCAACTTGGGTTCGGAAGGATCTCAGACACCGAATTTTGATCCATCTATGGGCGAGGCCTGGCTGTACTGAAGTTTGAAATCTATCGTTCGACTTTCAGTTACAACCAGCCTGCTGGCGTTTTTCGGCACAATCTTGCCGGTTCGGGCTTATAGCCGGCAAGCAGTGACATTCTATTCTGACAGTAATAAACTTCTGCTGCGGAATACAAAAGGGCCCGGGAGGAATTTCCCTATCACACTGACTATGTAGAGCAATTTTTTTTCAACCCCCAGTTGC